TATTGACAATAAATAATCAACCGATTCTAAAAGAACCCAGAAATTGTTGCCGTCCGCCAAAACAGGAGGGCAATTAGGTCAAGGAGATGAATACCTGAAAAACGTGAGAATATTAATTGGGTCGGGAAGTGCTCCAGCTTCAAACGAAACCCTAGATTCCGGTCACCGTGGAAGAAGTCTGTTGCAGAAAGACCAGATTCGACTGGACTTGAGTTGACTCGGTTCCTTCGGAACCACGCAAGACGCGGAAACTTAGGTTAATCGATCGATGCTTTTTTCCAAATTGGCGGCGAACACAACGATCTTCGACAGTGGGAATATGACACAGAATCCGCCGCGCCAAAATCGTCGGCGAGCAATAGCGCGAGAGAAGACGTCGTCGAAAAACGTTAGGGGATTCTGTAAATATCTACCATTATTTTACGAAATACTTGCCTTATCAAAAATTTAAATTAATTATTAATCTTTTTAATAAACATTTATAGTTTGATTTAATTATCAGCATAGTAAAATAAAGAATATATAATATACATATTCTTAGTTTTTTTTATTTTTTATTACAACATTATCTAAATCTTCGACCTAAAAAAATAAATAGGTTTCATTTATCGTTAAACATAGTTCAATTGACTAATGAATTCGATTCTTATAAGCTCTATTTATTTGTTATAAATTACAATGAGAATGAACTCAAATGAGAATCAATTGAAATCAAATCCATCGGTATAAGAATGTTACTTTGATACTGTTTACCAACAATTTTTTAGGATCAGAATCAGAATTCCTTTGAGAATCAATTGATGTAGTTTGCTAAAATTATCTAAAATTAGAATCATAATTAGGTATGACAATTATTAATATACCTATTTCTTCTTATTTTTTATTTATCTTATTGCTGATAGCAAGTATTTTTTATCATGACAATTTATTTAATATTAATAAATAATAAATAATTAAAATAAAATTACAAGTTTTATTACAACCATCCTCATTTAATATAAAATATTATTGAATTTTATTTTTATAATATTTAATAATAATTAACTCTATTTTTGAAAACCTATTGATAATAATTCGTTAATAATAATAAAATTATAATATCTTCTAATAAAATATCGTTAACTAATAAAAATGATATACATTTTATTAGAATAAAAAATATTAGTATCATAAGTGAAAATAAATAAAAAAATGTATATTAAATAAAAAGGTATAGACCTTATTAAAACACTAGAGGGAAATAACAAAAGTAGAAAAATAATTCCAATTAATAAACGGGACCCACGGTCAAAGCGAACATAGTTCAATAATAACTGAGATGTAGGATATGAATGAGATTGCTCCGTTTTAAGGATGTAAATGAACAAATTGTATGGGTCCCATCATTTGATTTCAGTTCCTACAATTTGATAAACACATCGACGAGAATGAAAAAATTGATTTTCATTTATTAATTCTCATTTTCCTTGAAGTAAATATTGTCGTAGTTCCTAATCTTCTTAAAATATTAAGCGTAAGTTTGGAACTAAAAATAGTAAAATTGAACTTTTGAATGTGTTTGATACACTACGAAATTGTAACTTTCAATTTTGTATTTAACAGGTATTTATCATATTCAATATTATGTAGAATTCTTGAATTTATTAGATACAATTTGAAATTAGAAACTTATTAGATACAAAATTAAAAATTAAAGACATTTTCAAACTTCTGACACCTATTAAACTAACACAACTTTGTATAATACATTTTGTTTAATGGAAAAACATATCAGATACAACATTTTAAGTTGATGGAGTAAATTATAATTTGGATAGGAAAGTTTAGCTGCATTCTTCTTTTTCATATTTCAAATTATTATCGAAAAGAAAAGTACATTTTGGGGTGATTTTTTCAAACAATTGTTTTTGGTGAAAGCATACTCCCTCCTAAAGATAACCGAGTTTTTCAAAAAAATTGTTTATTCAACCGGATGAGAATAATGGAAGGATAATCTATTTTTTCTTTTTATGTTGTTTACCAAATTATATAAATAAAATCAATTATTAGACTCATCTCAAATTTGGCAACTCATTTATCTTTCTCCTCCACCCTCATCAAATATTGATACCATAAATCTATTGCAATTACTTTACTACTACCATTTTACCTCTCTTGTATTAATGAGATCCACAATTTTTTAATTAATTGTTCTATACTCCTATTTTTTCTCATTTATGCTACTAATAAATTTCCTTATAATAAAAATCTTTACTACTACCATTTTACCTCTCTTGTATTAGTTGATGTGATTATGTGATTTTATTATCAAATATTGTAAAATATTTACTTTTAACTTTTACTTTGTTATTATAATTTTTTAAAATATAATTCATTATTATTAAATATTAGAATAATGAAATTTAGTAATATTTTGTATTAAATAAGTGCTGTTATAATAAAAGAATATTTTAGTTGATGAATTTTATTTTAATTATTAATTATTTATCAATATTAAATAAATTGTTATAATAAAAAATATTTACTATCCGTAAACGAGCATAGCTTAGCGATAATTCACTAAAAAGAATAAATAAGTATACTAGTAATATTTTTGATAAGCAACCTGAAAGGACTCCGATAAGTAAGAATGACCTAAGTACACTAATTAATTACGTGTTTATCGTAAGGTTGATTTTTAAATATTTTATAGTGTTTTGGAATTTATAGAATTTATTTTGTCTTACCAAAATAAATATCTGAAATTTTTCAAAAGTGTATTTTTAATATCTTACAAAAAAATCATCTCATACTCATCATAAATATTACTAAGTTTACAATAGCAAAATGCAATAAGTTCTAGAAAAAAGTAGGGCCCCATGTAATTATTTGAGATATATGGGTAACACTGAAAAATATATAAATATACGATCAAAAGAAGATTAAATTTATAAATTTGTGTAAATTACATAAAAATAGGTTAGGTTGGGTTCAATTAACCTCGCACGCCCCGGTAAATTCCAATTGGGCCGAAGCCCAATTACTGGATCTGACGGCCGAGTCGTTCCACTGGGCTTTCAGGAATAAGTAGGCCCGTTAAAGGGGCTACTATAAAAATCCGACCCTTTTTGCAATTTACAATACTTTTTGGCCATTTTTTTAAAAAATATAGATAGAGGACCTACCTAAGAATAAAAGTATTAGTTAATTTTTTTTTTNCTATAACCTGATCAGGTGTATCAATTCTACCTTAAATTTTATTAAATATTATAATATTCATCATAGATGTTGCGATTTTTATCATTGTTGGAAAAATTATTGAAAATAATACTCTCGTCAAATGCATTATAAAACATATATTTAATATGAAATTGACATAATTAAAACAAAACGATATTAGAGCTTTTTTATGTTCAAAATTTGTTAATTTTGATGGAGTTATTTAATRATTGATTTTATACATCAATGAAACTTAATTTTGTGTTAAACTTGATTTTAATTAAATGAGTAACTTTGGGAAATCTTTTACATTGTTTTTTTTTTGTTAAAGTTAATGGATGAATTAGCAAAAATTAAATAGATAAAAAAATTGTAACACTTACCTACATCTAGGGTCAATTTAATGAAATTAAAGCTTATGATAAAAACATGTAGAAGGGAAAAAAGTGAAAATTTCCCAAAAAGTAATTATTATTTTCATGTTAGTATATACAAATCCTACATAATTGCAGCCAAATAAAAGCTAAGATTTGAAATTGTATGACAAAAGAAAAATATTTGCAATGCAACTATCAACCTAAGGTAAGGGCATGAAACTTCCGAGGAACTTTTCATCAATTAGATAATATAGTTCTTATAATATAATAATTATGCAAATTCATGGTTTATATCATTGTTACCAAAGCATAAAGGTTCTAATTTTTTATTAAAAGGTCACGAGTTTGAATTTCCATTTCCATATTTTATATTTTATAATAATTCAAGTGTTAGAAGGTAAATTTATTTAAGACGGAACTGAAACTTCACAAGTTTACTTTTTTATATAAAATATTTCAATTCCAAAAATTTAGAGGAATCAATTAAAAGTAAATTACACAACTTAAACATTTTATCTTTTTGAATTACAACAAATTAAGTTGTCTTCCTCCTTTATTCTTTGCTCCACTTCAAAATTAATAATAATCAATTTGGTGACGACCTCAAAACTGCTTATAAAATATCATTTTCTATAAGACACGTTATCTATTTGAAAATGTGTAATTTTGCATTTTAATTGGTTAAAAAAAAACACATGTAATGTTGTGAACTCCTTGTGTCTTTAATGGCAACAACTTTTAATTTAATTATAATTAATGACAATTAGAGTTTAAAGCTTGTTTTTAAAAATGCGTACAATTTTTACTCCCACTATTTGCATTATTGTTTCATGACGATCAATAGGGCAATTCCAATTTTAATGGTGAAATTAAATAATCACACCGAATTTCACGTTTTTTATTTTCTTATTCAAAATTTCTTTAAATAATAGGTCATGTGGCATATAATATTGACATATTTTGAAATATTTGATAACACTGAGATGAAAAGTTAAGGATGTGGAGATGTGACTTTTTTTAAGGATTGATATGTTTAGAGACGAGACTTAAAATATGTGATATTCCCACTAATAAAACAAGAAAGAAGATATGGTTAGAGTTAATTAAACCAAACATTGAATTACAACAAATTAATTTGTGATGATAATAAATGTCGTCTACAAAACGTCTTTTTTCATATGTAATATTGTCATCAATTTTTTTAAAAAAAATATTATGTTGTCTTGTCATAAGTAAATTCTCTATTTTTCTCATTCAAATATCGTGATTTTAATTTATAAAAAGGCAATGGGGAGTCATATTTAATTTAAGAAGTTTTTTTTTTCCTCTCAATTGAACAGTGTTAGAAGAATCATTCTTAATTTTTAAATACAAGAAATATATTTAGATGTAGTTATTTTAATTGATTTGCTCTAGGAATAGGCTTTAATAAAATAACAAAAAAACAAAAAATGGCTATATACTAAAAAAAATTCATATAGACTCTTGCAATAACATTTTTTTCTTTGACTTTATGTATCAACTATAATTCAAATAATATAATTTATTTGGTCTTTGTATTTCCTAAAATAGTCAGTTTCTCAATTTAGAAGTCTAGAAATAATGATAAGAAACAAATGACATAATTTTCTTAGAGCCAAAAAAATTCCCAAAATCCTACCGCCCGTTCAAAAAATTGACTCATTCGTGCATTCCTATGTTTTAAAACGTTTTTAATAGATCTTTTTAACTTTAAAAAGTTGGCTTTTAAAAATTTCCAAATTTGTTTTAATAATTTCCCACAATTGCAAAAGCGAGTATAACTTAGAGGTAATTGACATATATCTCCAACAACAAGA